CCTGGAGATTTGAGGGATGGAGCCTGAAGAGGGTGAGGCTTGAGGAGGGGTGGGACCTCAGACAGGTACAATGCCATAGACTCCACCCTCCAAACCACTCAGTCCCTCATGGGGAACCATTGTTGCCAATCTCCAGGTGAGGGCTGGAGACCACTCAAAATTATAATTGCTCTGCAGAAGGGAGGGCGGAAGTCAGCTGAAGTCAAAGGGGCAGATAATGGTAGGTTGATGGTTAGCTGGGAAGGAGATGGGGTTGCCAACTCCAGGCTGGTAAATTCCTGGGGATTTGAGGGGTGGAGCCTGGAGAGGGTGGGGTTTGCGGAGGGGTGGGACCTCAGACAGGTAGAATGCCATAGACTCCACCCTCCAAACCAGCCATTTCGTCCTGGGTAACAATTGTTGCCAATCTCCAAGTGAGGGCTACAGATCACTCAAAATTACAACTGCTGTTCAGGGAGCAGAGATCAGTTCCTCTGGAGAAAACAGTGGACTCTGTCATTATACCCTGCTGAGGTCACCACAGCAAATTGACACTTTTTGCCCAAAGCCAGAGCACTCCCCCAAAGCCTCTTTCTAGATCTCGTATTTATTTCCACAACGGGCTTTACTGCTAGTCTTGATATAAGTGGACACAAAGATGGACGCCAGAACTGGCGGGCCCCGTAATCACACTTAGGCAGCAACCCTGGGAGGCACATGCGATCTTGCTCTGATGGCTGCAATTCCCCTCCACCCCACCAACATCTGCATACTCCAGACAATGGACTTGCCGTGCCCCAGAGCTACTTCCTTTCAGCCTCAGTCGCTAATCTTATCAACCTCGCCTCATCCTTCCTCTCCACATCTTCTTTACAATAAAAACTCCTGACTTCTACTCCTTTCCCACACCCTAAACCCTGGTGCCTCACCAAGCAGTATTGTTTCCATTTTGATTAGTTTAAACTAGCAATCCATTAGTCCTTCGAACCATCGGAGGATGCAATCAGGAACCCAACCGAAACTTTACTTTGCATCTAGAAGAAACCTCTGGTCTCTTTTGTCCATTCCTGGGAATGCTGTTCAGCTATTCACAAACTCCTCTAGCTAATCTTATCAGAAGAACATTAACACCTTAGTTTACACTGAACCTCAGCTCTCATGCAAACTGTCATAGGTTTTCCAGTTCTTTGTTTATCCTGGGAAAGCCAATTTTGGTATTATTTTGAGGCACAAATGTCAGACTGCCCCAGGACACAATTTTCCTATAAAAATAGCACTCAGAGCTCCGTCTGTGTGTGTCTGCCCCAGGCACCTACTGGCAGCGCACCCCCAAATTCGTTTGGGTTCATTCCATCTTTATAGCCTCTCTTCCATGGACTTCTGCGCATCTGGATAGGTAATTATAACTTCTCCCAACAGCCTCCTATTATTCCTGCTCACCTCTGTATTTCCAGTACTTGTGTATATGTTTTAATGTGTGCTTTATTTCTGTATGTGTGCACTTTATTAGGATTTTCTTCTTTTAATAAAAACAACCCTTTTGGTTAAGCAACAGACTGGTTATTGAGAGCTCTCTTAAAGGGAAAGATCCCCGTAAACATAGGTCATAGATCCTCGCTGAGGCCTGCCATTTAGCTAAATTCCCCTAGAAACTGAAGGCAGCAACTCAGCCTCTTAAAATATAAGCTGGTAGGGGTAACACTACCCTCTGAAACTAGGCTGGCACCAGGATGAAAATGAAAGAGGCGTCTCATATTTAGAGAAGGCTTACTTGAGTTACAGTAATTAACTGCATTTGTTTCACAATAATAGGTAGCTAATCTGTTTTTTTGTAATTAGCCCGAGCAGCAAATTTATTAATGAGTTGTTTTTAAAAATGCGTCTGTTCTAATAAAGGTGATGTTTACACAATATTTGCCTGATCTGTTGGCTGCAAATTGACCTGTCGAATGTGCCGGCCCTGCCTGTCCATCCCTTTGATTCATTCCATCACACGCGGCTCGCTGCATTTATTTTTGCTTCTCGCAGTGGCGCTCGCTCCAGGGCAAGAGCTGCCTTCCTGTAGGAGGATGCCTAGGATTGTTTGTCTTGTAAGGACAGCGCAAACAGTTCTGTGCTCAGCTAGAAACGTATTTAATTACAGTCACACACACCTGCAAAATCTTAAGGTAAAACTTAGGATATGCCAAGAAGCGACACTGCATCCAGTTTGATTTGAGCTGTCGCTTTCTCCCGGCGCTCGCTGCAAACCGGCTGTCTTTCTGCAGACTATAGTTCACTTGCTAGTTTTCGTGTTGTGGTTTTTCGCGAACGGCGATTCAGATTTGGTTTAACAAAGTTTCATTCTGGGTATAAGCTGTCGTGTGCATGCATGCGTCTTTGGGCGTGCCTGCACACAAAAGCTTCTATCCAGAATAAAAGTTTGTTGGTCTTAAAGGTGCTTGCACTGGACTCCGGCTTTGTTCTGCGGCTTCAGACCAACGTGGCTACCCCACCTGAATCTATCAAATTTTGTTTGACCATCTAATGATTGTGAGGCGGTACAGAAAAGAGGTGAATAAAATAAATGGATGGTGGTTGTTGTTGTTCAGTCGCACAGTCGAGTCCGACTCTTCGCAACCCCATGGACCAGCTCCCGCCAGGCCCTCCTGTCTTCCGCCGTCCTCTGAAGTTGGCTCAACTTCATGTTTGTTGCATCTATGACACTGTCTCCATTCAATTGCCAGCTCATCACCACATGGAGGAAATGTGTGGATGTATGGTCTTACTCCATGATCAAGAATACTGTTTCTGGAATGTTCCTGATCACTGGGAGGGAATGTAGGTGCACAGAGTGTGGCGTAGTTTGTGAAGAGTTTCATTTATCATTGTTACGATCTTAAGACCAACACACAGATTAAGCATAACATGTGAGGGAGAGAGAGAACAACCCAGTCATAATATACAAAATAGAAATCTGAATTTAAGAACTTTTAAAATGCGATTCCCGCAATCTAAGAATTAATGCACAAAGCTCAGTGACTGAATGGGTAATCTCTGCATTCTTATCTGATAGGAGCCAGAAGTGTGGTGTAGTAGTTAAGAGCATTGGCCTGGGATCTGGGAGACACAGGTTCGAATCCCCCCTCTGTCAAGGAAATTTGCTTGGTGACCTCGAACCAGTCACACACACTCAGCTGAACCTACCTTACAGTTAGATCAAGATGGGTAGCCATGCTTGTCTGTAGCAGTGGAAAAGAGCAAGAGTCCAGGAGCACCTTAAAGACTAAAAAAAAATATTGTGGCAGGGTAGGAGCTTTCATGAGTCACTGCTCACTTCTTCAGAGCCTTTAAGGTGCTACCGAACTCTTGCTCTTTACTACCGCTTCCTTACAGTATTGTAAGGATAAAATGCAGGAGGAGAGAATATTGTAAGCCACTTTTGGCCCCCGTTGAGGGGGAAAGTGGGGTACAAATAAGGTAAAGAACATTTATTGTTTATTTAGGACTAGAAATAAGGCCCGTTGCGGAAATAAATACAACGGGATCTAGAAAGAGGCTCTGGGAGAGTGCTCTGGCTTTGGGCAAACAGTGTCAGTTTCCTGTGGCGACCTCAGCAGGGTTTAATGACAGAGTCCACTGTTTTCTCCAGAGGGACTGATCTCTGCTACCTGAAGAGCATTTGTATGTTTGAGTTATCTGTAGCCCTCACCTGGAGAGTGGTAACCATTGTTACCCATTCTCCTCTCCCCTATGAGGTATATTATGCAACTGAAAATCCCAATTGCCTTGCGGGGGGAGGGGAGTTTGAGGTGTGGAATGGACTGAAGTCCAATCAGCTTCCATATGCAAAAGACCAGGTTGTCGCAGCAGTTGTGGTGTGGGCGGACCCGGGCTTTGCCTTCTGATTGGTGGCGATATATGCTGAGGAGCAGTGCCATCAGCCATACACTAAGGGAGTGCATTTTAGAATTAGAACGTTGGCACCCACTATTCAATTATATATAAGGAGAGATAGGCGTGGCTATGTTAGCCCGGGGATGTTTAAAAGGCGCCTAGCTCCCAATGTTAAACTGTTCTGGTTATGAATGCAAATAAATAAATAAATAAATAAATAAATAAATAAATATAAGGAGAGAGATTTCTGTGTTACCTCTTCAATGCTCAAAGTGGCTTGCAATTAAAAACAAGCCATTAGACAGCATAAAAACTATCCATAAAGCAGAGACAGATCATTAAAAATGCTGATAAATCCCCTACCTCAAAGCCTCAGTTCATAAAACCATAAGAGAAGCCATGTTGGGTCAGGCCAATGGCCCATCCAGTCCAACGCTATGTGTCACACCGTGGCCAAAACCCAGGGGCCATCATGAGGTCCACCAGTGGGGCCAGAACGCCAGAAGCCCTCCCACTGTTGGCCCCTCAAGCACCAAGAAAGTAAAAGACGTGTTTTCGCCTGGTATCTAATAGGCAGTAAAGTAGGCAGCAAGTGAGCCTCAAGGGGTCGGGCGTTCCACAGGCAAGGTGCCACCACTGAGAAGGCCCTGTCCTTAGTTGCTACCTGCCTCACCTCTGAAGAGATCAAGGCTTGAAAGGCAGAAGCTTGAGGGGCAGATCTTAAGTGGCAGGCTGCACAGCATGGGCTGAAATGGTCCTTCGAGTACCCAGGCCCCAAGCTATCTAGGCCCTTCAAGAGAAGATCCAGCACTTTGAATTATGCCCGGAAACAGATGAATAACCAGTGAGCAACAGTTGCATAACTGCTTCTTCCCTTTATAGGCACAGTGGTGATGAGTTGGCGGTGGGTGGGTGGGTGGGGGGGGGAGCACATACTCATGCTTGCTTTTCCTGTCCACATGCCAACCGAGGGCGCGGAGGGGCCATGCTTTCAGGGCTGCAACGGCCTCCTGATAGCTGAAGACCAGAGTCTTTCCAAAGGGAGCGCTGCGGCAGGTGGGGGCAGTTATCAGCTTTGCTGCTGCTGTGATGCACCTTGAGATCTAGTCTCTTGAACCCATCTGTGTGTCTTGGTTTTTTTGCAGGATACTGAGAACTCCCCCGGGCCCAAGGCAAATATATGGCTGACAAGACCTTAAAAGGATGTGGGTGTTTGTAAGTATCTGGAGAGGGCCGCCTTTAAGAGATGAGCAAAAACCCTGCCTATGGGAAGAGCTCTTCTCTTCAACTTCTTCTCTGCTTTTCTGCCTTTGCAAGCTTCATTGGGGGTGGTGCAGTGTGTGTTACCAATGGGGCGTATTCAAAATGTGAAGGAGGTAGCCCCGTGGGACTTCTGGGATTGGAACTCTCTTTTGGGAAAGGGTAACTCACTTGAGCTGCGGTGGCTCAAGTGGTTAAGACGCTGGACTGCAGGCTGTGGAAGATCAGTAGCTCAGCAGTTTGAGACCCGGGTGCCGCGTGACGGAGTGAGCTCCCATCTCTGGTTCCAGCTCCTGCCAACCTAGCTGTTCGAAAGCAAGAAATTGCAAGTAGATAAATAGGTACCACTTCGGTGGGAAGGGAACAGCGTTCCGTGCGCCTTGGTGTTTAGTCATGCCGGCCACATGACCATGGAAACGTCTTCGGACAGCGCTGGCTCTTTGGCTTTGAAACGGAGACGAGCACCACAACCCTAGAGTCGGATTTGACTGGCTTTCGAGCAAGGGAACCTTTACCTTTACCTTTACTAACTCACTTGTATTTATGTGTAGCAGGGATGGGCACAGAACGAAAAAAATGGAGGTTTGTGGTTCGTGGGTTTCACGGACTTTAGCAGACGTTTCCATTTTATGAACCAGTTCGTGATGGGGGAGGGCTTACAAAAGCCATTTAAAGGGAACATTTCCCTTTAAATGGCTTTTGCAAGCCCAACCACCGTCGCCACTGTGGTAACGCCATGTGGGAGTCAACTCAGGAGGCATTTGCCTTCTGAGTCCACTTCTGTATCGTGCCGCCGCCACGGTGCAACGCGAGGGAGCTCAGAAGGTATCTCAATGCCTTATGAGTCCACTTCCAGTATTCTGAGTCGACGTCCGGCCACGAATGCCTCGTGAGCTCCCTTGTGTAGTGCGGCTGCGGTGGCGCAATGCAGAAGTGGACTCAGAAGGCATTTAAATGCCTTCTTAGTCGACTTCCACGGGCTGCTCACGGACCAAACAAACCCCTGGAAAACCCTGGGCGGTCCGTGGGAAGCCAGAGGGCACGGACCAGGCAAATGAATTACGAACCGGACCTCGGTCCGTGGAAAATTTGGTCTGTGGTCTGGTTCATGCCCATCCCTTATGCGTAGCATATCAGTGTACGTCCAGCTGCCCAGCAGTACAACTGATGTTCCCTGGGGCCTTTTCAGTTGGCAAAACAGTGCTGGGGGGGGGAAGCTGAAGCCCTGCGCTGTGTTCCAATCCAAACCAGTGCCCCCCGCGCACCTGAGAAGTCATTTCTCTCACATCTGATGTCTGGCTGTCTCAGCTAAAGTCAAGCGATGGAAGCCCAGACAACTACGCATTGCAAATTGTAGTGTGTACTTTGATTCTAGGGTGTGCGGCTGCGTAATGCAATACTGGATCGCGTACTTATAAATCAGACATAATGGTTGCTTTCACGTATCGCGACACACCTCTGTTTGTGTGTGACTGGCTCCAGGATTGCTTGTTTTTGCACTCTCGTCTCCCCTTATATCTTGGTGCACAAAGGAAAGTTTCCTAGTTTGCAGAGTCTTCGATTGGCGTTTGAAACCTCCCCAGGCCAGGAGGCCTTCGGCCATGCGGCATATGGAAGAGGAGGTGGGAAAGGAGCACGTGACGATAAGCCGCCTTCATGCCCATCAGCTCTTTGGAGGAAAAGGGAAATAGAAATATCCCAGAAGAGGAGGATATAAATATACAGTCTGGCTCTGGCCACACTGATGTGTCATAACAAAGCAGGATATTTATATCCCCTTTCTTTGTCCAAGGAAGTGGACACGGTTTACGCGCTCGTCCCTGTTTTATCCTCGCAACAGCAACTCTGTGAGATCCGTTAGACTGAGAGAGAGAGAGAGCGAATGGCCAAGTCACCCAGTGAGCCTCAGGGCAGGGGGAGGATTTGAACCAAGGCCACGCCGATTCTGGTCTGATACTAACCGCAACACCACGCCTGAGAGTGTCGTGCCACGGCTCTTGCAGCGCTGTGCTTGTCCGACGTCACCTCCAGAGGCTTTCAAGGCCAGAAGACTGGTGGGGACTCGGCAGTGTTTCCCATATGGATACAAAATACAATGCAGATCTCTGATAGCATCAGAAGGTCCAGGTTGGTGAGCCAGTTTGGTGTCGTGGCTAAGTGCGCGGACTCTAATCTGGGAGAGCCGGGCTTGATTCCCCACTCCTCCACTCACAGCTCCTGGATGACCTTGGGCAAGCCGTAGTTCTGTCAGAGGTGTTATTGAAAAAGAGCCGTTTCTGTCAGAGCTCTCTCAGCCCCACCTACCTCACAGGGTGCCTGTTGTGGGGAGGGGAAGGGAAAGGAGTTTGTAAGCTGCTCTGAGACTCCTTTGGGTAGTGAAGGGCAGGGTATAAATCCAATCTCTTCTTCTTCTCTGTATTTTTACCCCTTAGCTGCTCACGACATGGCAGCTTGCTGTTCACCCCAGCCGAACGGCTTGCGCAGCCGTTGTTACGATGGCCGAACTATTAGCCTTCCCCTAACCGAATGCCAGCTCCTTTCCTTTAAGCTGCTTTGCTAATTGGTTGCGGTGGCTGCCTCTAACGAGCTCTGAGACAATTACCACCTCTCAAGCAAGCCTCTTAGAAGCGTCTATCTTCTTAAAGCAAACCGCCCACCTTCGCAGACAAATGGTGCTTCGTGAATGATGGAGATGGTCTGTCAGAGCGGGGACGGTTGTTAGCTACTGACGGGCCTGCTGATTGTCTACTGTTAGATGTTTGGTACTGAAGAGAAAACGGGAGCCTGGATTTCGTGTCAGAGACGGGAGGGGCTTCTGCCATGCTTGTGGCCTTCGACTGTATTGCTTTTTTCTCTTCTTGGGGGGGCTCACCAAAGGCAAAGTCTGTGTGCCTGCTGGGAATGGCATCAAGTGGCTTGAGCGGGGCTGGCGGCCTCAAAACCCACTTGAATAAAAAAATATCTTGCACTGTACTCAGATTTGGCGATTCTCCAGAGGGGTGAGATTAAGGAATTGACGTATTTTTACCCTTGGGTTGGGTCAGGCTGCCCCTTCACTTACACCGTCTGTCCTAGCCCTTTATTACCAACTCGCCATGAGCGCTAAAATGGTGGTACTGTGTGGAGCTGTGGCCACTAAGGATACCATCCTGATGACGTCGTCTGTTCCCTTGTTAGTTATTGTGGAGAGCACCTCTGTTATATTGAATGTTTTTAAAATGCAGTTTTAATGTTTTATGTATTGGGCATTGGCCCCATCTGTATGCCGCCCTGAGCCCATTCACGGGGAGGGCGGGTTATAAATTTAAATAAGTAAATAAATACATATTTAAAATATGAGTCGAGCGGCACCTCGACAAAGTTATATTCAAAGCGCAAGCTTCTGTGTGCAAAGCATACTTCTTCAGACAAGACTGGAATAGAATCTCAAAAGCTAATTACAGGGGAAATGAAGGTGAGCCGTTAGGACTCGCAGTGTTCCCTCTAAGCTGAGTTAGTGTGAGCTAGCTCACAGTTTTTTAGCCTCCAGCTCACAGGTTTTTGTCTTAGCTCAGGAAGGGTGGCTCCAGAGCAAACTGATTTTTGCAGTCGCCAAATCGCTCGCTCACAGCTTTAATGCCCGTAGCTCACAAAGCAGAAATTTTGCTCACAAGACTCCACAGCTTAAAGGGAGCATTGGTTAGGAGGGGCAGCCCAGAGCCCAGATGCATCTGCATAGCTGAAACTGGAATGGCTGGCCAGGAGAAGAAGAAGAAGAAGAAGAGATTGAATTTATACCCCGCCCTTTACTACCCAAAGGTATCTCAGAGCGGCTTACAAACTCCTTTCCCTTCCCCTCCCCACAACAGACACCCTGTGAAGTAGGTGGGGCTGAGAGAGCTCTTGACAGAAACTGCTCTTTTTTTCAAGAACAGCTCTTATCAGAACTATGGCTTGCCCAAGGTCATCCAGCCAGGTGCAAGTGGAGGAGTGGAGAATCAAACCCAGTTCTCCCTGATTAGAGTCCACGCACTTAACCAGTACACCACTACACCAAACTGGATGGCAGCATATTAGCACGCATGTGCAAGAGTTAGCAGAGAGATGTGGGAGAATGAAATTGGAGTCCAGCAGAACCCCCAAGAAAAACCAAGCTCAGCCCTGTGTGCGCCGAATCTCACACGTTTTGCACACGGAAGCTTTTTATCTATTTATTTATTTATTGGATTTCTACCCCGCCCTCCCAGGCAAGGGCGGCGCAGGGCGGCTTACATAAAATCAGCACATAGTTTACAGTAAAACATAAGGTATGAATTAGATTAAAACAATTCTAAAACCATTTAGACCACACAACTGTAGTAAAGTGCTCGGGTCGTTGATTTCATAATGGCTGCTATTACTCAGTTCTCTCTTCTCACAGTCCGCGGTTACTCAGGCTGCTGTTAGAATTTATTTATTTATTTATTTGTTAGACTTTTATCCCACCCTCCCGCCAGAGCGGCTCAGGGCGGCTTACAATAGTTAAAAACCAATATACAATTGATAAAATATCAAGTCAAAACAATACAATCGGTAAAATCTCAAAATACAACTGTTACAGTTAAGATTAAGACATGGCGGACATCTGTTATTAAGTATTGGTAATTACGTGTAAGGACAGTGTAGTCAGACTATTAAAATGCATGCCGGAACCGCTCGTTCTTTACCGCTCTACGGAATTGTTGAAGATCCCGCAGAGCTCGAATTTCATTTGGGAGCTGATTCCATAATACCGGTGCAGCAAGGGAAAACGCCCTAGTTCTTGTTGATGTTAACTTTGCGTCCCTAGGGCCTGGGGGGGACCAAGCGATTTTGCGACTCGGATCTCAGTGCCCTCGGGGGAACATACGGGGAAAGGCGGTCCCTCAGGTAGACAGGCCCCAGACCATTTAGGGCTTTAAAGGTCAAAACCAGCACCTTGAAGCGTATCCAGTGCAGCACCCTCATCACAGGTTGGCAGCCAGTGCAGCACCCTCAGCACAGGTTGGATGTGTTCCCTCATGGGGAGACCCATCAACAACCTGGCCGCGGCATTTTGCACTAGCTGCAGCTTCCGGAGTTGCCCCCAAGGGCAGCACCATGTAGAGAGCATTGCAGTAATCCAACCTCGAGGTGACCATAGCATGGATCACTGATGCCAGATCATTGCGTTCGAGGTAGGGGACCAACTGCCTAATCAGCCGCAGGTGGTAAAAGGCTGCCTTGGCAGTGGCTGCTACCTGGGCCTCCATTGTCAAGGAAGCATCCATTCCAAGAGGAAACCGGCCTCTCTAACCCTCGGCTGTCGGTTATTAATGGTAGTGGTGGCTCCAAAAGCCTGGTGGAATACAGGCCCTGCAGAACTGTAAAAGGTCCCGCAGGGCCCTGATCTCCTCCAGGAGCTCGTTCCACCAGCGAGGACGAGGAGCCAACACAGAGAAAGCCCTGGCCCTGGTTGCCGCTGGCCTGGCCTCCTTAAGACTTGGGAGGGCCAGTCGATTCTGGGCCCCCGATCACAGTGCTCTCTGGGGTACATGTGAGGAAAGGCGGTCCCACAGGTATGTAGGACCCTGACCATATAGGGCTTTAAAGGTAAGAGCCAGCACCTTGAAACGGATCCGGTATGCTATTGGCAGCCAGTGTAGTGCCCTTAGCACAGGCTGGATGTGCTCTCGAATAGGAAGTCCCATCAAAAGCCTGGCTGTGGCATTTTGCACCAGCTGCAGCTTCCGGATCTGAGACAAGGGCAGCCCCATGTAGAGAGCTTTACAGTAGTCCAATCTCGAGGTGACCATCACGTGAATCACTGTTGCCAAGTCGTTGCGTTCAAGGAAGGGAACCAATTGCCTGATCAGCCGAAGCTGATAAAAGGCCGATTTGGCAGCGGCTGCTACCTTACACTTTGAGCAAAACTTGGTTAATCTCAAAGGTGCCACGTGACTCAAACTTTGTTCTGCTGCTTCTGATGAACATGGCTACCCACCTAAATCTATATTTAAAATCAGGGCTATTTTTGGGCAGGAACGCACAGGAACGGAGTTCCGGCTGACTCCCAAGTTGGCCACACCCACCAGGAACTCATTGGCATAATAGGCCACACCCAACAGCAGGAACTCATTCGGATTGGCTACATTAGGGGTGTGTGGCCTAACATGCAAAGGAGTCCCTGCTACAAAAAAAGGCCCTGGGTTTTGACAACAAACAAGGTAAACAGAATAAGAAGCAAAAGGTGGGTGTGGCTGGATGACCACACTTCTGGTAACGTGGGTGCGGCCTAATATGCCAATGAGTGGTGCAGTCAGGGTGTGTGGCCTAATATGCTAATGAGTTTCTGCTGCTGGGTGTGGCCTATTATGCTAATGAGTTCCTGCTAGGCTTTTTCTACAAAAAAGCCCTGTTTAAAATACAACAATGTTCTGAGTGCTTCATAATAGCAGGGCAGACTTCTTTTTGAATTGTACATGCAAGGTGATTCAGTTCCAGGTGTGTCTGCAGCAGCTGTTAACAGGAACTCCTGACCTTCTCTTTCAGCTTCGACTGTTCTTTACGCTGATCGTGCTGTGCACCTGCTCCTTCCTTTATTTCTTGCTCTGCCCTCGCTTCTGCGTGCCCCTGTGTTGGCTGAGCTGCCAGCGTTCCGAAGAACAAGAGAGACGTTTGCCACCCGTGTCTGGAGCTGTCCAGTTTGAGGGTTACATCAGTGTTCCCGATGGCAAGGTGGGCCAGACTCCTTGGAAGCCAGCAAGGACTGTTGCTAAGTTAAGGGTGATGACCAATGGAACCCGGTCCTGCTGAGGACCACGGCACGGGGTGATGGGGGGGGTTCCTCTCCCCCCCCCATGCCATTTTCAAAAGCCGAAGAGCCTCCCTTTTGCCTCTTGAAAATGGTGTGGGGTGGAAGGAGACAGGATTCTCTCATCCCCCCCCCCACACACACATACATTGTGGTCCCCAGAAGGGTTGGGCCCCCACAGCTTTTTTAAAAGTAAGGAAAAAATACGGTTAAATCAGATTTGCGTCCCCCAGCCATACACAGTATCATCTAGTCAGATCGTGAGAGACACTCATCATGGACATAAGAGGGTGGACTTCGGGTCCAGAACCAGCATATTTTTGGATTAATTGAGTTCCAGATTGGCTGTCCTGAACTGTATCTCGCCTGTTCTTGTTTCCACCTCCACTTTTGACTTGACATAGGCTTAATCCTTCCTCATAGAGCCAGCCTTTGCCATTGGGGCACTGGCGTGCTTGTTCGCCGCTTGGAACAGCAGAATGGCAGAATGAAATCTGGAGTACTTGTTGCTGGTCTTGGGTGTGTGAAAAGAATAGGGAGGACTGGGTCAGGGAAGCAAACACAATGAATTGCTGGGGACACAGTGAAGTTTTGTTTTCATGATGTGGCTTCAAGAGCAGATTGGATCAATATATGGAGCAGAGGTTCATCAGTGGCTATAAGCCACAGGTCTTCTAGATGGAACACTCTGTCTGGGGCAGTGATGCTCTGTCTTCTTGGTGCTTGGGGGGCAACAGTGGAAGGGCTTCTGGACTTCTGGCCCCCCTGGTGGACCTCCCGATGGCACCTGGGTTTTGGCCACTCTGTGATACAGAGTGTTGGACCGGATGGGCCATTGGCCTGGTCCAACACGGCTTACCATATGTTATTTTTTGGTCGGTTTTAAGGGTTTTCAAATGTGATTTTAGTATGTGCATTTTAATTTCTTAGCTGCCTTGGTGGCCCTTGTGAGGATATAAATTTGGTAAAGATGAAATAAACAGAGAGGCGCTGTAGTTTAGTCAGAGCAGGAGGCCGGATGCTGTACGAGGTGGAGGGAGGAGGCCATTGCCTGGCCTACGCTTCATTCCCTCTAGTTCAGAATGCCCCAGTCAGTCTTGGGAGGGGAGAGGCTAGCAAAGTAGTATTTGCTTACAGTTTTCTTATTCGGCATTTATATATTTATTTATTTATTTATTTATTATTATTTAGATTTTTATCCCGCCCTCCCCGTAGGCTCAGGGCGGCTTTGAGTGCTCAGAGGCCCGCTTTGAGTGCTCAGAGGCCCGCCCTAGCATTATCTTTCTGTTAATTTTACAACGATTTTGTGAAGTAGGCCAGTATTATCTCCCTTTTACAGACATAAGGAGAGTTAAGTGTGTGGCTGTAAGGCTCAACAGCGTGGCGGGGAAGGGATCGAGCAAAACATGGCAGCTAGCTGACATCGGCTTCCTTAAGGCCACCTGATGTGAGCATGGGGGAGGCGAGACTCAAACAGGAAAACATCCAGGTTTCATAGCTCGGCCTTTGGGCTCTTGTTCTACACCACTGGCTTTTGCAGGCAGGGCCCTCTACATCCTTCCCAGTATCCATGCTTGCTCCACTCAAGTGAGAACAAGCACGGTTCATTTGCTTTCCCAGTTAACAGACCGAAACCAAGGCCAAGAGGAGGTGGGATGCAAAGTGTACACACACACACACCCCCAGTGAGCATCACAGCAAATCTGGGATTTGAACCCGTGGCTTCTATATCCAAAGCCAGTACACCGTCCTCTCAAGTCATATTCTTTCCTTCAGACCAAGAAGGAAATTACTCACCAGCTCTGGTTTAATTTGGGGTGTAAAAATGATGCTTTTGCAGGCCCAGAATACTCTCTGAAGCCTCTTCTGTAGTTTTTTTTTCACAGGCCGCTCACTGCCCTGTTGGCAGCAGCTTTTATGCCATGGCCTGTTGCTGTGTGATTCCAGCCAATTTTTTTTTGGGGGGGAGAGATGTATGTTGGCTGGGCACAGAAATGTTTGAGGCATGCTCCCGCCATTTTGTGTGTGTCCTTAAAAGGGGGGCCAAGGAAACGCTGAGGGGGGTAGTCTCGGCCTCCCTCCAGTGCGCTGTTGCTTCCTCTGACCTCACTCCTCTCCTCCCTTTAGCCGTTGGTCCGAACCCCATGCCGCCAGTGTGCTGTGGTATCCAGCTCAGGGCAGATGCTGGGTTCACACTCGGGGAAGGAGATCGACGACAAGGAGTGCGTCCTGCGTATGAACCAGGCCCCGACGCAGGGCTACGAGGACGATGTCGGTGCCCGGAGCACCGTCCGGGTGGTTTCTCACACCAGTATCCCCTTGCTGCTGAGGAACCAGTCCTACTTCTTCAGACAGGCCCGGGACACCATCTACGTCATTTGGGGGCCCACGAAGCTTATGAGCAGGGAGAAGGTGGGCATGGTTTATCGGACGCTCCTCAAGGTGAAGGAGATGTACCCCAGCCTGCAGCTCTACACACTGACTGAGAGGATGATGGCCCACTGCGATGATCTGTTCCAGGTCGAGACCGGGAAGGACAGGTGAGAGCTGTTCAGGGGGACGCCCGCGGCCAGAGGAATGTGGTGAAAACTGGCCCGTGGTGTTTTTGCGGGATTTCGTGGATTTGGTTCTTTCTTTTTTTTGGTATGAGGTGGCACAGAGACTTCTTTTGTCGTCTTTTGCTGTCTTTATCTTCACAGCTGGAAACAGAGGACGGCTTTGTTCTAAATGACTGTGTCAGTATGCATTTGGCCAGGGACTGTGGCTGTACCTATATGGTTATTTAGAGAGCCAGTTTGGTGTCGTGGTTAGGTGCGCGGATTCTAATCTGGGAGAACCGGGTTGGATTCCCCACTCCTCCACCTTGCTCCTGGCTGTATGACCTTGGGCAAGCCATAGTTCTGATAAGAGCAGTCCTTGAAAAAGAGCAGTTTCTGTCAAGAGCTCTCTCAGCCCCACCTACCTCACAGGGTGTCTGTTGTGGGGAGGGGAAGGGAAAGGAGACTGTAAGCCGCTCTGAGACACCTTTGGGTAGTGAAGGGCGGGGTATAAATCCAATCTCTTGCCTTCTTCTTCTCCTCTTTATTTATTACATTAAATTTATATCCTGCCCTCTGCACAAGTGGGCTCAGGGTGGGTTACAGGTCGCATAGGACACGACAGTAAAACAGTGGAATATCATGAATTACAAAGTTAGAAATTTAAAAGTTTAAAAGAACAATAATAAAACCAGCATAAGGCATCGCCTTGGCAACGATGCCAAGATGTACTTCTTCTGAGCAGTGATGTTGGCCACTGGACACAAGGCCAGGGTTGCCGGTAGGGGAGGCCGAAAGATGGCCCGAACCTGGTAGGGGAGGCCGAAAGGCGGAAGAATGTGGGCGCCCGCTGCCCCAACGAAAAGCCCGGTGGAACAGCTCCGTCTTACAGGCCCTGCAGAATTTGCAATAGATCCCACAGGGCCCTGGTCTCAATTGGTAGCTTGTTCCACCAGGCTCGGGTCAGGGCTGAAAAGGGCCTAGCCTTAGTTGAGGCTAGTTGGCTGTTCATCGGGCCAGGGATAACCAGAAAGTGTCGGCCCCAGAGGTCATTTCGGGGGGGATCGCAGTTCCCCTGGGTGAGGTACGGGGGTGGGGCACATGACGAAGCCCCGCCCCCTGCTTCCGGCACTTCCGGCCCTCATTCAGCCAGGAGGAGGCAGGAGAAGAGGGAGGGTAAGTTGCTTCCTCCCTGCCTCTCCCCACCCCTGCCTGGGGAGGGCCTTCGCGAGACTTCCTTGCACTCCCGCCGGCCTTGCAGGTCCACCGCCGGGCCCCTCATGGGGCTCGGCAGTGGAGCTGC